AGCAGAGAGCATTTGATGCCAGCTTTCTCTAGAAAGAGGTGGGAAGCAGAGGACGTTTGATGCCGGCTTTCTCTAGAAAGAGGTGGGGAGCGGAGGACGTTTGATGCCGGCTTTCTCTAGAAAGAGGTGGGGAGCAGAGGGCATTTGAAGCCAGCTTTCTCTAGAAAGAGGCGGGTACAGGGGACGTTTGATGTCCCTGTCTGGACACAAGAGTTGGAATTCAGGGTGCCCCCATATAGCCATGTACAGAAGTCAGTGTAGTGAACAAAACACATGCACAAAGAGTGCTTTGTATTGACTACGTGACCTGTTTAAAGTATGTTAAATGCTGCACACTCTTGTTAAAAGGCAAAATAAAAAAACCTTAATTCATTTTCATGAATATTAACAAAGATAACATTAAAATGAATTTTATAGTAAATTATTAATAATTCACGGATCTAACACTGAATGTTTACTTAAAATCACTCCCTTACCATGTATGCAAACTGAAGAAATGGCTGAGTTCCTGAGAAGGGAGCCCCAAGCCCTACAAGGGAGTGAGCTCAGGGCTGTTCCAAGTCTGCGGCCCCCGCCCCCCAACTGCCACCCGACAAGGGGGCCAGGCCTGCTTCAAGGCCACGAGAGGGCGTGCGCATCTTAACTAGCTTCCTAGCGCTAGGCCGAATGCTGTTCCTCTCTTTCCTCAGCTGCTGTATTCTGAAAGGTGAAGAGGCTGAGAAGAAATCAAAATTAAGAATTTTGACAGGAAACTGTGTGAGATAAGGTGCTCAGCCCGAGTATGATTTGATGTGATCTGGTTGGAGGCACGGCACTCGCTGTGCACCTGGGTGTAGGTTAGGCAGCTCCTGAGTTGGGCAGCCATCAGAGGCTCTCCCATTGGCACTGGTAGAAGCGAGAGCACTGTGGATGTTTTCTGTTCATGGGACATGTATTGTGCTTTTATAGAAGGCCATGGGGCTAAAGCAAACACTTTCTTAAGAGGCAGTAGTGTCCTATTTGGATGCCTTCGCGGGGGTAGGAAGCCAGGGACCCTGTGGATGCAGTGAGCTGGGCAGCCTTGGCTTCTGAGTGCCAGGAGAGTCTGTTCAGTTCCCCTTGTGTTGGTGACTCATGAGCACACAAGGTGGGGAGAGCTGTGCTCCTAAGACAGGGTCCGTTCCTACCCTCTCCAGTCCAGGTGCGGCTCTGTTGCCCTTGGGTTTGCGAAAGCTATGGCCTTCCACTCTACCTGCAGTGAGCACCACAGTTGTGTGGCTTCTGTAGGAATCAGCACTTCCTTTTCTCCATCCTCAACCCTCCCTGGATGTGGAGAGCACACTGGGCAGCAGCAGATGGCAGTGAAGTCAGGACTGCATTGCTCATGGCCTTGCAGCCCTGCAGGCCGTCCTGGAAGTCAAAGAATGAGCTGCCATGCCTTCCCTAGGGAGCAGGAGACTGGCACCATGGAGCACCGTGGCAGCAGCTATAAAACCATCGTGCAGAATGTAAACATCCTGTTTTAACATTGTTCCCCAGTGTCAGGAAAACTTCTTAAAATATTGTTACCTAATAAATTACTTTTGTTCACTGATTTATTCATTCAACATTCATGTTTGGAGCTGTGTCTGCTCAGTTCTGGATACTCACGACAGAAAGGAGTTACTGTCTGCCATAATGCAGCACAATTTTTCAGAAGATAGAAGACAAATACAAAACATTATATATGACCCATGGGGAAAATTTGAAAAATGGGACTTCACCAAAATTAAAACTATTGCTGTTAAAAATATCTTGTTATGACTCTGAAAAGACGAACAACAGACTGACAGAACTGCGTGCAAACCATGGACCAGAATCCAGAATATACAGCGAACTCTCAAAATCCGATAGTTGAAAACATTCCTGGAAGAAAATGGGCAAAAGGCATGGGCAGACACTTCCCTGAAGAGGACGTGCAGGTGGCCCAGAGGCCCAGGCCCACCAGCCAGGAGGAGGTGCACGTTAGAGCCTCCACAAACCCCACTGCTTAGCTGCCGAGACGGCAGAAACAGAGCGGAGACCTGGACTCCTCTCTTGGCAGTGGGAGCGTGTGACGCACAGCCCTAGGGAGCCAGCATGGAGCTGCTTTTGAAAGTAGACGTCGGTTCTCATGCTCCCAGCTACAGTAGTCTCGGGTGCTGCTCCCAGACATGTGGAAGCACACATTCCCAGGAGAATCCACAGGCACGTGTTTACAGAGCTCAACTCGTGATGGCCTGAAGGCGGAAATGCAGCGTGTCGTTCAGGGGTGTGTGGTTCCAGTGGTTCCACAAACCATGGCCCAGACGGGCTGCAGAATCCTGCTCAGCCACTGGATACTGGTGCAGTCAACACCCAGCAACTTTCCAGAGACCTGGGCTGAGAAAGAAAAGCCAGACCCCAACAGTAACATGTGCGTGAGTCTAGTGACGGCATGCTCCTGCAGTGGCAACCTACAGACAACCAAATCCGCGGCTGCCGGGGCTAAGCACGAGCATGCAGCCGCAGGCAGTGGGCATGCATGGAAAGGACAGTTTGGCTGTGGGGTGAGGGAGTGCCGTGTGCCAGCTGCGGCAGAGCACATGCGAACCCACACAGGTGATGGAGCCGCGGAGAACTCCACGGTGCGCGTGGACGGGCATTGGAGGAGGGAGTCTCTGTCATCCTAGCCGTGATGATGGGGGCTGGTTTTGCATGGTGGTGTCACTGCGGGATGCTGAGGAAGCAGCACCTGGGGTCTCCCTATCATTTCATCCAGCTGCCTCACAGCAAGCAATGCAAAGCAAAGCATTTGGTAACATAAAGTCAGATAAGGACGAACACCTCTTTAAGGCAAGACCCATCACCACCATCTGGGGCGTAGGAGGGACAGTGGGTGAGGCGAGTGCCGCCAAGCCTCCAGGGAGCTCCCGCTGGTGGGGGTGGTGTGTGGCTTGCAGGGAGCTGCCTGCTGAAGGCTGCGGTCAGGAGTGCGCCCCAGGGTTCCTCTGTGAAGTGTCGCTCCCAGCAGATGTGACAGAGCCGGAGCCATCAGAACCACAACCTGAGTTTCCTTCACCCCAGCCACATGTTGGGGGAGGGTGGAGTCTGCAGAGGCCCCTCATCCCTGGGGGGGGGGTCCCGTTTCTCCCCAGGTGGAACAGGTTTTGTTGAAAGCACAGGGTGTGTGTCTATCCATGGGCACACATGGTGCAAAGCATCAGCTGCCCTTTGGGCACAATTAGCCTGTGGCCCACTGGGGACTTTTTCCTGTCCATCTCATAAATGACTCCTGGATGCAAACACCTTGAAGCACAAGTGGTGTTGCCCACATGCAGTTCTCTAACTTCCTTTCTCCTCAGAGTTCTCTCACATTTGGGAGGGGCGGAGTCCGGCCCCTGATGAGCCCCATGGTGGTTTCTGGTGCCTGAGGGTGGGAGGGCAGAGCCTGTGATACTGGAGTAGTCCCCTCCCCATGAAGTACTGAGGCCCTGCAGGGTGACCCGTGGCAGTGGGAGGCCTGTCTACCCCTTGGGATGTGTGTCAAACAGCGTCTGTCGTTTTCTCCGCAGAAGCCTGTTGCCTCTTTAGTGGTCTGTTCTCAGTTGCTTTGTTGATAGTTCTCAGATGTGTACGCTGTGGAGAGACTGCAGCAACTCTGGGTGGGCAAGTGGTCCTTGGGCTATCCGCGGACTGCTTCCGAGGGACAGAGAGGAGCAGGAAACACGGGGTGCACGTGGGAGCAGAACACAGAACCTCACAGGACAGAGCTGATTCTCTGGGATTTCCGGAACAGTCACACATTGCATAAATTAATTTAATAATGTACCATGAAATCAAAGTATGATTTTTATATGAAATGTCATCAGTGGATCAGGTACCTTTGATAGCAAACATCCAGTCTTACTGGTATATCCTCAAACACGTCATTTCCTTTATGTAGGTTGGTTCATATTTTTTTTAAAGATTTTGTTTATTTATTTGAGAGGCAGAGTTACAGACAGAAAGAGGGAGAGACAGAGAGAAAGGCCTTCTATCTGCAAATAGCCATAACTCCCCTAATGGTCACAATGGCCAGAGCTGAGCCGATCCAAAGCTAGGAGCCAGAAGCTTCGTCCAGGTCTCCGACGTGGGTGCAGGGGCCCAAGGACTTGGGCCATCTTCCACAGCTTTTCCAGGCCATAAGCCTAGAGCTGGATCTGAAGTAGAGTAGCTGGGACTTGAACCGGTGTCCATATGGGATGCCGGCATTACAGCTGGAGGCTTAGCCTACTGTGCCACAGTGCCAGCCCCTGTGTTGGTTTATTTACATTTGTCTGTTCGGTGCTCTTCACATGGTGAGAAGTCGCTTACATTTTCATAAAAACACCATCCTGAATAGGATCTAAGCTGCTCTTAGTCAATTTAGTAGTAATATCACAGAACACATACAAATAGCTGTGCCCACCATGTAAATACCACTCATAAAGGTTTATATATAACATGTATTTTAAACCACATGTTTGGCTATAGCTTTACAGCTATAAAAAATACAAATTTTAAATCATTACTTATGATATTGCATTTCATTTCTGTTCTAAGAAGCAAATGACGTGTTTTTATAAAATCTTTTGGTGCAAATGACTGGGGTCTATTAGCTGTCTTTGGAACTGAGAGGGACAAAATCAGAAACCTGCAAGACAGGCAAGCCATGGACTCACAGGTGCCAGTCTGAGTGGTTTGTTCAGTGTAATGGTTCTGAGACCCACTCACAGAAAGAACTTCCACCTGTGTGAGAAGTCTCCATTTCTAGGCCCATGTCCTCCTGGCCTTGCAGACAGTAGTGCCACCAGTGATGACAGTGGGTGGTGTGGCCATCATGCCTCCTGCCTCCTCACGCCTCTCGGCCGAGCCCACCATTACTACCCTGCTCACCTCAGGTGCATCGGCAGCCAGGGGCCCTCCCTGCAGTGGCCCCTCTTGGGGGGTTTGTTCCTCCATGAGGGTCAGCCTCATGATTCTGCCTTTGTGTTCTTTTCTAGAGTGCCCACATCTGGTGAAAGAGGGGAAAACATGTAGTGACTGAATCCAATCAAGTGTCCCTTCTCTCAAATTTTCAACAACATTTCATCAAGGAAGGTTCCAGCAGGCCCTGCAGACACATGGATATCCAAGGAGCGACCTAAAGGTAAAGACACCATGTGACTTGATGCTGTATGTGTAGACAAGTGTTTGAGGGTTCACTAACCATAACTTATGGCAAAGCCTAAAGATAGGTTTATGAGTACAAAGGCTTTGTGGTTGGTGGTTTAAAAAAAATCTCCTGATTTTAATTTAAAAAACTCAGTGCAGAGTTAGACTTTCTAATGCATTCCTCAGCACGGACTCAGGTGGCCTTCTCTTCCCAATGGCTACACCCCCGATTTATGACCAGAGTCACAGGTCTTTGTCACACTTGACAGTCACACAGAAGCTGCTTTGTACAACTTTCCTCTCTAATCAGATCTGTATCCACCACTGATCTATTTAGGGACACCTTATATTTGAGGAAATGAAGCTGGGTGTTAATTAGGGCCTGGCTTGAATTGCCCAGGGTGCTCCGAGGCTGCTGGCAGTTAGTGCTGATGAGCCTGTGTCCTGGAGCTGTGCGTGGGGAGACCCAGGCTCCCAGCCGCACTTCAGGTCATAGCTCAGTGCCTTTCACAAGAGGAGTGTGAGTGTGCTCACACGTGCCATTTCCATTTTATCCCTTTGAAGGTGTGTGTCAGTGGTGTGTTAACTTCATCTGCCTGGTGTGCAACGATCACCATCATCCATCTCCAGATCTTTTCTCAACTCCCAAACCGAAGGCTTGCACCCCTCCTCCATCCCCCTCCCCAGCCCCTCAAAGCCATTGTTCTTCTTTCTGTCTGTCTGGATTTCCTGCTGAGGTCCTTCTGTGAGTGCAACACTCAGGCATTTGTCCTTTTGTGACTGGTCTGTGAGCCCAGCAGGGTGTCTGCAAGGCTCACCCCGCCACCCTGCCACCCTGCAGTGTCTGAATTCCCTTCTGGCTGAGACTGCTGCTCCTTGCTCCCTCTTCAGTGACACGCCCACTGCGTCCACTCTTCAGCTGCTTGTGAATACTGCTGCTATGAGCTTGAGTGTACAGATACGTGCTTGAATCTTTGCTTTCAAGTTGTGTGGGTAATTCATATGCACTTTTGATATTTTGAGTACCACCGTTTACATTCCCACCAGTGGTGCCTAAGGCTTCCAGTCTCTCCATGACGGCAGTGCTTACTGTTCTGTGTGTGTTTTATGATGGATACACTAATGTGTATAAAGTGATGTCTTGTTTTGGTTTAGATTGGCCTTTCCCTCTTGATTAGTGATTTGGAATGTCTGTTCATATGCTTATTGGCCATTTGTGTGTCTTCTTTCAAAAAATGTCTATTTAAGTACTTGCTGTAGTCAAGTTGTCTTTTATTGTTGAGCTATGAGAATTCTTTTTATATGCTAGATATGACCCCTCATCAGATACATGATTTGTTTTAAAGACTTATTTATTTTTACTTGGAAGTCAGAGTTACACAGAGAGAGAAGGAGAGGCAAAAAGAGAGAGAGAGGTCTTCCATCCACCGGTTCACTCCTCAGTTGGCCACAATGGCTGGAGCTGTGCTGATCTGAAGCCAGGAGCTAGGACCTTCTTCCCGGTCTCCCACGTGGGTGCAGCAGCCCAAGGACTTGGGCCATCTTCCACTGCTTTCCTAGGCCATAGCAGAGAGCTGGATCAGAAGTGGAGCAGCCAGGACTCGAACCAGCACCCATATAGGATGCCGGCACTGCAGGCGGCGGCCTTACCAAACTATGCCACAGCGCTGGCCCCCAGATGCATGATTTGGAAATATCTTGGGGGCCGGCACTGTGGCGTAGCTGGTAAAGCTGCCGAGTCCTGCCTGCTCCATTTCCAATCCAGCTCTCTGCGATGTACTGGGAAAGCAGTGGAAGATGGCCCAAGTCCTTGGGCCCTTGTAGCCAGGTGGGAGACCTGGAGGAAGCTCCTGGCTTCGAATCAACACAGCTCCAGCCATTGCGGCCATCTGGAGAATGAATCAGCAGATGGAAGACCTTTCTCTCTCTGTGCCGCTGCCTCCCTGTAGTTCATTCTTTCAAATAAATAAATATTTCAAAAAAAGAAAATATCTTCTCCTGCATGATGGGCTGCCTTCACTCTGTAGGTGGTGTCCTTTGAAGCAGACTTTTTTTTTCATGTAATCTAATTGTTTCTATTTTTCCCATTTTCTATTAAATATAAAGATTTATTTGAAAAGAATAGAGAAAGAGAAGCAGAAAAATGTCTTCCGTCTAGTTCGCTGTTTGACTTCCCAAATGCTCATAGCCAGGGCTCGACCAAGCTGAAACCAGAGGCAGGAACTCCATCCAGGTCACCCATGTAGGTGGCAAGGACCCATGTACTTGGGTCATCACCTGCCCTCTCCCAGAGTGCACATTAACAGGAAGCTGGAATTGGAAGCAGAGCTTGGACTGGAATTCAGGTACTCTGAAGTGGGATGCAGGTGTCCCAAAAGACATCTTACATGCCTGCCACATTGCCTGTTCCAGCCACCTTTTGTTTTTTTCAGTTTCTATTTTTTTTTTAATGACCATACTTTTGGAATCATATCTAAGAAATCATCACCAATTCAAAGTCATGAAGCTTTTCCTCTACATTTTTGTCAGAAAGTTGGATAGTTTTAGTTTTATGTTGAGATCATCAGTCCATTTTGAATTTGTCATTGTGTAGTTTTAGTGTGAATTCCTAGTGCAAGTCCAGCTGCATTCTTTTGTGTGTGGATCTGGGATGTTCCCAGTTCTAGTTTTTGAAAGATTGTCCTTTCCCCATGGAATAGTCTTGTCACCCTTGTGGGAAGTCATTTGCCCAAATAGGTGTGGGTTTCATTCTGGCCTCTTTGTCCTGTCTCACTGCGTGTCCCCAACCTGACTTTATGCCAGGGCCACACTGCTTTGATTCCTGTCACTCTGTAGTAAGTTTTGCCCTCAGGGAGTGCAAAGCCTGCAGCTGTGTTCTTCTCCATGATGTTCCGTCTACAATGATGCTCTTGAGTTACCTCATGAATTTTAGGGTGTGTTTTTCTGTTTCTGCAGAAATATCTGCTCTTGAGGTTTTGGTGGATTCCACCTAGAATCCACAATCCTATGGCTAACTCTCTGGATCAGGCAGAAACAGAGGTTTGCATACTTTCCCTTAATTCATTTTCTTTTTTTAAAATTTTTTTTAAATTTTTTTAAAAATTTTTTTGACAGGCAGAGTGGACAGTGAGAGAGAGAGAGAGACAGAGAGAAAGGTCTTCCTTTGCCGTTGGTTCACCCTCCAATGGCTGCCGCGGCCAGAGCGCTGCGGCCGGCACACTGCGCTGATCCGATGGCAGGAGCCAGGTGCTTCTCCTGGTCTCCCATGGGGTGCAGGGCCCAAGGACTTGGGCCATCCTCCACTGCACTCCCTGGCCACAGCAGAGAGCTGGCCTGGAAGAGGGGCAACCGGGACAGAATCCGGCGCCCCACCGGGACTAGAACCCAGTGTGCCGGCGCCGCAAGGTGGAGGATTAGCCTAGTGAGCCGCGGCGCCGGCCCCTTAATTCATTTTCATACGCAGTTTGAGCATGGACCATGGTCTTACATTTTTTTTTCAGTTTGAAAAACGATCAGGTTTTATGACCTCTTTTGTGTAAGTCTGATTTGGTGAGCAATAAGCAATCTCTGTGTCTAAAAAAGTTGGATATGAAGGCTTCCAAGATCTGCCCTGAGGACGCTCTCTGTTGAATTTCTGAAACTGCATTTTGAAGACTTTGGTTCCCCAGAGGTGACTCCCATGGTAGAAGACCAGCGATGATGAGGAACAAACAACAAATGCATAGGCACCTTTCCCAACATGCAGGATCTGTTGTTGATAATGAGAAACTAGAAGACACTGAAAATTAGATACTTAGATATTATGGGGTGTCGTCCAAAGCCACAGTCAGTCCTAACCATACAGAGAGCTCCGAGTGCAGGATCCGACACCACCTGTTTCATCTTCATGTAGTAAATCTTACCTCTGGAAGAGCCCCACCACTCATGGTCCAGCCCTGGGAACCACTGAACTCCTGCGGAAGAGGGACCATCATTCCCACTTAGAGGTCACTCGGGGAGGATTGGAGAGCATTGGAGGTCACACAAGACTGATTGACAATTAGCCGAGAGTGTACTGTGTCGTGGGGAGAAGGTGGGCTGCAGTGAGCTGGAAAGGAATGCTGTTTGGTTATCTGAATTTAACACAGATCACTAACTTCCAGTCATTCATCCAACTTTAGGTCCAAGCTTCAGACAAATACTCAAAAGTTAGCCTCAGAAATTACATGACAAGAAATGCAGAGGACAGCCGGTGTTCACCTGCTCCCCTTTCCTTCATGGGCACTGAGCGACAGTGTGTGCTTGCCTTGCTCATCAGTGTCTTGCCCGGCAGTGTTGAGTGGCTCCCTTGTGCCCAGGACCTTTTGGGTTTCTGCAGGTGTGAAAATGGATCCGACACAGCCACTGCCTCCCAGAGCTCACAGCGTGAGTGTCAGGCACGCGGCGGCAGTGAGACAAGACAAAGCCTCCACCTGCAGCATAGACCGTGTCTTGCTCCTGTCTGTGGTCCCAGCCTGTCACGGTTGCTCTCCTGGGTGCTGCTTGCCTCCCACCGAGTCAGCAGAGGTCTGTGTGAGGCAGTTTCAGAGGACTCAAAGAGACTTTAACTATGCCTGAGATCAAGGGCGGCACTGCAGAGGAAGCAACCCAGAACTGGGTCTTTCTCGATTAGTTCATTAGATGAAAGATCTGACAGCTACTTTCTAGGCAGAAAAAAACAGCACACCTAGAATAGGCACAGATTTGGAATGCCAGTCAGGTGCCAGCACAGCTATGTGTGAGAACAAAGTACTCCATCCCTAGAAGCTGAGGTGTTTGTAAACTGAGTATGGGGACTCTACAGACTGTGGGGGTGGGTACTGAGTGGACTGAGCATGACTACTGGATAGAACAAGTATAGCTACTGATAGATAGTGTTGGTACTGTATGGACTGAGCATGGGAACTGGATGGACTGATCACAGGTACTGTATGGACTGAGTGTGTATTTTATGAACTGAGTGTTGGTATTGATTGT